TAAAGTTATCATTGTGGAACAAATCAGTATGATACAGTGATACCTCAGGTTACATACATTTCAAGTTACAGATGCTTCAGGTTACAGACTCCACTAACCCAGAAATAGTACCTCGGGTTAAGAACTTTGCTTCAGGATGAGAACAGAAATCGTGCTCTGGCGGCGCAGCAGCAGGAGGAGGCCCCATTAGCTAAAGTGGTGCTTCAGGTTAAGAACGGACCTCCAGAATGAATTAAGTTCTTAACCCAAGGTACTACTGTATTGTTTGTATGTTTCATTTAGGCCGATCTGTGTGGTGTTTTACAACTGAATTACATAAAAAAAAACCTGTCAACTCACATAAAAATGTAATTTTCTCTGCTGAAACCTTTTATTAAGAAATAATAAATTAAATATTGGATTTTCTGTGAAAGAATTCGATACTAGGTGTGTGAGGAATTGAACGGGTAGAGGGGTTTGGGGTTGGAGGAAAGGCGGAAAGAAGAGCTAATTTGTCTGTGGGTAGGGGGCGCAATCTGGATCTGCCAGAGGTGCAAGATCTCCTAGCTACTGCTCTGAATGGATGTGCTCTGAACAGACCTCTAACTCCTACTGATCACACCTGTGGCACAAAACAGGTCGAATCTGCACATTTTATTTTATTGCCCATTTTATGCAAAAATGTGTGATAAGTATTTGGCCCCCTTATTGAAGGAGGGATTTATCACACTGACTCTTCCAGGGTGTCTTATCTGCTGAACAATTGTAGGAATGACGTTGTGGAAAATGTGGCAAGATTTCTGAGTGACACTATGAAGTTACATCACCATAGGTCCTATGAGATCCATACAGAACCACAGCCAGAAATCTGGCTGCTGCATGCTGGACCAACAGAAGTTTCTGAGTCATCGTCTTCAAAGGCAGCCCCATGTACAGTGCATTGGGTTAAGTACTTAATTTGTTCCGGAGATCCATACTTAACCTGAAACTGTTCTTAACCTGAAGCACCACTTTAGTTAATGCGGCCTCCTGCTGCTGCTGCGCCGCCAGAGCACGTTTTCTGTTCTCATCCTGAAGCAAAGTTCTTAACCTGAAGCACTATTTCTGGGTTAGCGGAGTCTGTAACCTGAAGCGTATGTAACCTGAAGTGTATGTAACCTGAGATACCAGTGTAATCCATTCTGGAAGCTATCAGAGCATGGAGCACAGTGGCCAAGTCATCACTGTCCAAAAGGGCTCATAGCTAGCCTACCAAGGGCAGATTGTCTCTTCACCTCCTAGATCTGAGATCTGGGACACATATCTTTTCAGGATTCAGTATCAGTTTATTGGCCCACATCCAGCCCATCACCACCTTTGAGTGCTAGTCTAACATCTCAACTGCTTCTCCTCATTCAGATGGAACAGAGAGACAGATCTGCATATAGATATGCAACTTCCTGGACTCAGTCTTGTGCCTAGATGCCCAGGTCTCTAGCGTAGCCAGAAGTGCATTTGCACAGTTAAATCTAGTGCACCAGCTTGCCAGGGACTGTGCTGAGGAGGGTTGCACTGAGGAGGAATGGTGGGATCCCCCCCTCCCCCTGCTCCTGAATCTTCCCAGGAGTAGGAGGACAGTATAGATTTGGAACAGTGGTTTGCAGAGGGACATAGTTCAGAAGGCAGAAGCTGGGAAATACTGGATGGGGAACAGCTAGGAGAAGAAGCACTGGGAGAAAGAGAGCTAACAGACTCACTGTCACTTGAAAGCATTCATTCGCTCAGTCCAAGGTCAAGAAGAGCAGATAAGGTGGCAGCACAGAAAGCACAGTGATTGCGAGAACAGGTTGCGAGACTTGGTAGTGACGTGGGTGACTTTTAGTAACCAAAATAAATTGACTTAGAATTCCATGTTAGGTGTGCTACCTCTGGAATTCACAAAGAGGTATTTTGATGACAACAGAATAATACCTTTACATAATCTCAGCCACTCAATGACATTTTTATTGTGTGTTCCTGGCAAATAACAAAAACCCACATAATTATTGCATTTATCAAACTAAAATATCAGAGTAGGAGAGGGTCTTTCTGGCAAATCCACCGATATATAGCACTGCAAGGTTCAGAGGTGACTTTATATTTTATTGTAGCACAAGAGTTTCCTTCAGCATAGTTTGGTTCTGGAAATCTGTGGAAGAAAAAGGTACATCTGAATATCAGGACAGAAGTCTGTTACAACTATTTTTTCATGTTCTTAATAGAAAGCATGAGTGTTTCCAAAATGTACAATAAGCTGGTTGTATGCATTTGAATCCTCCAAACATGGATGAGTAGCATCAAAGTGGAGAGAGTGAAGAAAGTCACGCATAGCTTGATAGTGGGAGCAGCACCATCTCCCCCTTTTCCTTTTGAGCCTGGGAAGGAGGATTGCAGCAGTGGGGGATGCTCCACCAGGGACCAGTGGCAGAGCATATGCCCGTGCTGCCTGAGGAGTCAGGGCATGGAGGGCGCCCTCCCATGCGCCACAGTTCAGGGTAGGAGAGGGGCAGGGAAGCTGCTGCCCATCCCCTCCTGTTCTCTTCCACCAGCTCAGGCCTGACCCAGCTGCAGAGGCAGAGCTGCTGTGGCCGGGTGCGCCTCGCCTTGGCCGAGGGCTGCTCTCCATCACCAGGTCAGCAGAGCTACAGGGCACAAGGTGTGCCACAGGTGAGGAGGATGGGCAGCAGCACTGCCGCTCCCTCGGCTGCAGCCCACTCACCTGCGTGACCCGGGGCTAGAGCTGCACAAGGCACAAGCGCCGCAACCAACACACAACTCCTTCTGGCACACAGCCAGGCTCCCATGAAGGATCCACTGTGGGGCGCCTGTTTGCCCCCCCTCTCAAAATTGCACTCAGGGCCACAGGACCCCCATGCTATGCCTCTGAATCAAAATGACCTACCAATTTGCCACCTAGGAAGAATGAATTGGGGGCGAAGGGGCAGATATAGGAACTTGAGAGCAGAAGTTGGCTCACTTATCCATATTTGGACCTCAGCACGTTCCCAGAGACAATAGGTGTGCAACATTCCCTGTTAGACTGTGACTCATCCCAACTACACTAAACAACCCCAAACTGGTCAGTTGCCCACCCCGAATTAAGTGGGATGCTAGGGTGGGGGGCAACCATCATTAACTCCAATAACCTTCCAGTTCTCCCTTTCTTCTCTCTCCTCTGATTTTCCTCTAGGGAAAGGCCAATATTTTTGGCCAGCTCTTTTTGACCATTTGTGTGTGTTAAGAGTGAAAGAAAGGCCTGAAAATAGAAACAGGGTGAGGTTTTTTAAAAAGGATTCCATGCAGAAGGGGTTTTTCCACTGATTATGACAAGGAGCGCAAGGATTTTCTACTATACTTTCACTTTGAATTCTTTCAAAAACTTCACCAGCTGCTCTGTGCAAGACTCTCCACAACAGCCTCCAGAATTCCTTGTATTATCAATGCTGGGGAGGCAGTGATTGAGATTGTGAGTGAAGTGGGAAGAGTTACTCATCCACTCCCTGCCACTGTAGTTCCATGCAGCACTTATAAATAGGGGGAAATGATCCATTCATGCCCCTAAGGATTTTTCCTTCCCCCCAGGAACCAGTGCTGTGGAGCAAGGGGGGCACATCAATTGAGACCATGAATGGGGAGTGAAGTGGCCAGTGAATAAAAATAAAAATAGAACTACGCCCATGTCTTCATGGAATGGAAACTTGCCACCCCAGACCTTTTCCCAATTTCTAAGGAGCCAGCTGAGGGAATCTTCTTGGCAGCCAATAGAAGAAGCGAAAAATATCTTTTACAAACTTTCTGTTAGCCCACTAAAACTTTAGCTTATAAACAGGCAAGAGAAGCACTTACTTAAATGTTCAGTGCAAATTAAATGTGAAATGTGGCAACATTTCTAATATCAGTCCCTAGCTACCCCTTTCTCTACATGAGAATGCTGGCAACTTAATTGGAACCAGTGCAAAAACCAGTGCCTCAATTGCACATCGAGATAATCTTAGCTCTAAAAATTGTGCTTTTTTTTTGCTTTGATTAAAAACAATAACAACTCACAGACTCTGATCAAGCTGGGAGCCTGTAATCCACATCCATTTCTTCTCCAATTTTAATAGTGAGAGCCCAATCCAGTGTATTGCATTTTTTGTAATGTTTTTTATGAAATCCTGTATGAGAGATAATGTATTTTTAAATACATATATATAAAATTATTTCCAAGTTGATAAATTCAGAATAAAGCTTACATTAAAATAATATAAAGTAATAAAATGTGAAAGTTGATAGTAAGTATAATGAAACATTCACCAAGAACAGTAATCAAAGCAGCATTAAGCATTTATAATTCAGGCCTCCCCATTTACGCAGGGGTCACATTGCAAGGAACTGTGCATTGAAGTGAAATTGTGTATATTAGGAACACCGTTGAAAAAGCCTCCAAACACGCTTTAAAACATCCATGGGGAAAAGCCGCTGAAAGGCCGTGTGGAATGGGGGGGGGGGAACCAGGGGAACACCAGCTCCTCCTCTGCCACTGCTCCACCACCAACCTCACCTTCCTAAAGAGTCTTTCTAAATAAAAAGAGGACTTGGGCTACAGTTACAGGGATTTGCTTGCAAATTCTGCTTTGGTTCTCACTAGTCAAGCTCCCCAAGACCTTCTCTAGACACTGATAAACTGGCCATGGGGGGGAATGGGATGAAGCACTAAACAAGGCCCCACACTCCACATGCTTCTCAAGTCACCATCCATGATATCATTGCAGAGCTACTAAGGTAGAGTTAAGCTCAGTTGGACTCAGGCTTCCTTCAGAATTAACATGCATGGGAATGCATTGCCTGAAATATGCAATTGTCCCCTTACCATCTCCTCCTTGTCTTGGATGACCAGCAGTTGAGAATCCCTTGTTGAACAGTCATGTTGGCTCTCATTCCAGCTTTTAATAATTTCTGATGGCCAGTAGCACTTGTCCCTGTGGAGCTGCCATTGCATAGGGCACACTTTGCAAGGGGAATTATCTGTGGAAGAAAAGACACTTCATGATTATGACTGGGCCTCCATTTTGATTGTGAAAAACATAACTGCTCTGCAATGGTAAAGACCCAGTGTCACTAGGCTGAGTGAAGTTGTCCAGTAAATTGTTGGTTTGCAAGGTGCTCTTTGAAACTCCTCAAAGTTGGGGTCCAACAACTTTTTATGTTATTCACTTTTTTTCTTTACTTTTTTTTTTCTTTTCGAAGTGTAGTTACATTTGCCACATTTATTTTGAAGGAAGAGCCCTGATCCAGATTACACTCTCCATTTCCATCAGGTCTCAGGGCTGGCTTCTCACCCAAAAACATGCCCTCTGTTTGAGCCAGAAGGGGTTTTTTAGGGGAGAATGGGGGGAGGCGAGACAATAGCTGTCAGGTGGGGAGATAATTTTTATGGGGAACAGGCGTGCAGCTTGATTCAGATTGGCCCCCTTTAAAGCTTCTTTTATAGTCATGATCCAATTCAGTCCTCCCTGCACACTCAAAATGCTTTCGATATAAAAAGATACAGAGATCAAAGTACAGATCTCTCACATCATGCCATCGCAAATGCAAGTTGATTACTCACTAGTTTTTGCATCTGAGTGAGTTCAGAGAGAGGAAACTGGAGCCCTCTAGAGGACAAAGGTGGAGATGGAGTTTACAAGACAAATTGCAGCCTTACATGTCCAAGTTGGTCTCCACAGTCTGTCTCATTGTAGCTTCATGTTGACAATACTGTGGTGAGGTGGGGAGTTTTTTTGGGGGGGCTGTCAGTCTCCCTTATACCCGAGTCCCTTCTAATTCCTGGGGTCCTGGATCCAGAAAAGGTTAAAATCTAATGGAGGATTCCATATTAACTAGCCAGGTGAGTCAATAGCCTTTAATGTTGTCCTTGGTATAACAAAGGAAGTGGCTTTGTGCCAGAGGGCAAATGGGTGGGTCTCCCCTCCCTCACCTGGCTCTTAGTGAGAACAGCAATGGCCAGAGTTGAGTGTGACGTTAGCTCTAGAATGAAACCACCAATGCTTGATATTTTAGGAGCATAGGGAGCTGTCTTATTCTTAGGGAGATCATGGGGTTCATCTAGCTCAAATTTGTCTACACTGACCAGCAGCAGTTTGAGACACCAAGGATTGAATCTGGGACTTTCTGCATCCAAGATTGGTGCTCTGCCACCAAACTATGAGAACATCACCTGGAGTACCGTCTCCAGTTCTAGGTGCCACAATTTAAGAAGGATTTTGACAAGCTGGAATGTGTGCTGCCACACGGGAGATGGAGCAAGCCTGTTTTCTCCTGCTCAGTAGTGTTGGACCTGAAACAATGGATTCAAGTTGCAAGGAAAGAGACTCTGACTAAATATCAGGAAAAACTTTCTGATGGTAAGAGCTGTTTGACAGTGGAATGGTCTCCCTCAGGAGGCTGTGGACTCTCCTTCCCTGGAGGTTTTTAAGCAGAGGCTGGATGGCCATCTGTCATGGATTGTTTAGCTGAGATTCCTGCATTGCAAGGAGACCGTTGGGGTTCCCTCCAGCTCTACAATTCTATAAGTCTATGATTCACCCACAATGAATGAGTTTCGTTGCAGAAGGTTTTATGCCTGAAAACAACATAGATGTGAACTGAAAGCAAGATCTTACATACAATTATTATGCTTGAAAGAGACAGCAGTACAATATATCAATTCTACCTGAGGGCCTATTCTGATTTTGATTGCAGAAGTTGAGTCTTAGGGAAGCCCGAAACTTGTCTGTTGAGGCATTGCATCCACCATTGCTCAGTAGAATTTTTCCCTTTTCAGCTTCCAACGGCAAAGCTGCCCCCGCAAAACAAAGTCATTTAAGTGAATGGGCATAATGTTAAGGCACAAATTCGAATTATGGAGGCCAAGGAATGGGGAGAAGAAGATGGATATGAAAAGATAATGAAGGCAAGCTGCAAAACAGACCAGGACACTTGTATATTTACTCATTGTGCAGAGGAGGGAATTTGGAAGGAACATATTATCATGCAGGGATGTAAGTAAACACACCTGCCCAAATTCCTCCTATGCAAACATTAGGGAGTCCCTGCTTTCTTTAGACAAGAAAAATGTGGCAATGGGATTTCTATCGGCATTTTTAAGGACAGAAAGATTTTGAAGCTATTTGCTTTCAAAACAAAATACATGGTTGCAATTGTCCTATTCTTCCCAAAACCACAAAACCAGGAAGCATGCAAGAATAAGGTGCAAAAAATACCTCAAAGATGCCAAGAAAAAGGATGAATCCTTTGCAATTTAAGCATACTGCAAAAAGAAGTAACCTGTCCTTCTTGGAATCTGTGAGATATTTCTCTTTTTTGCACTGTATTCCTCCAAGCACTGAGAAGATCCAAAGGTTCAGTGCTTCCCTAATTTCAGCTTCCTTTGGAAGAAGGTTCCTTCAGGCTTACAGCGTTTTTGTAATAGTTGAATTTATTTACAAATATACAGGATGAGCAGAGGTGACACACCTCTTCCACTTTTTTCTGCCAAAATCTTTATCTGGGCTGCATCTTGGCCTAACACAGACACCAGCTCCCTTCTTCTGATATTCACCAGCAAACCATTACAGTATTAACATAATCGGGAAGAACAGCTTGTTATTCAGGCCTCAGACACCCATTTTTACCTCAGCTTTTGCCTCACACCTCCCTCCCTCACTGACTTTCCCAACTGGCATTACTTCTCCTCACCTTTCAGTCTACTCCCAACTGACAGCTAATCGGAATACGTTGCTTCACTGACATAGTCTAAAATATTAAAAAAGGCAACACAGGTACTTTTGTAAACTAAGAAAACGTTTAATAATAAGCAGTGCTTATATTTAACCACCATTTTATAGTTCAAATCGGGGAAAATAAATACAGTAAATGGACAAAAGTACAAAGATTCACAAAATGTTTAGGGTATTAGTATCCCTGCATCCCCCCCCAGAAAAAAGCAATGATAATAAGTATTTTTTTAAAAATCAAAAGTACGATAATCTCTCTGTCTCCTTTCAGAAGCTGTTACGAAGCAGCAGGGGTGACCCATGCATGAGGCGAGGTGAAGCCATTTGTTTCAGGTGATGGATCTGTCCCCCACCCCATCCCCACCTTTGTGTTGCTGCCAGCCCTGAGGGGCTTCACCCACACTGCCAACGCAGCCCTGTTGCCCTCACCCCTGCCACTGCGCCCTCACCACTGCACTCTTGCAGCACGGGTGCAGTTGCAGTGATGGGGCTGGGGAGGGGACCCGGATCTGAAGCATTTTGCCTCTATTGACAAGATGTTTTGAGCTGGCCCTGCCAAGCGGCAAATGCTAAACAGGCCTGCAATGGTAAACAGCACAATGCCTCAAAATTGACAGTTGCTGCACTTTGATATCAGCGTAAGTCACTGAAATATTGTTCACAGCACCAAACAGAGACACAGAGAGACAGCAGACTTCCATGGGTGGGTGGGTGGGGTGTTTAAGGGTTATTAACAAATAAAGAGCTGGAAAGAAGAAGACATAGCCCAGATCAAAACGAGGAATTGGAAATCAGTATCAACACAAAAGAGCCGGTTCAAACCGTTTTACAAAGCCTAATGCACACATGTGGGGACTACAGTGACTCAATCTGAAGAAAACTGAGGATTCAAACCTGCTTTAGAGTAAAATGTGGAGGAGCCCTGAGGTGGGGGAAATGTCATTCCCCCAGCAAGGATCCTGTTACCCCAACGGTTGCTGATAGCAGACCCTCCAATTGCCCCTACAGTGGTACCTCGGGTTACAAACACCTTGGGTCACAAACACTTCGGGTTACAGACTCGGCTAACCCAGAAATACTACCTCGGGTTAAGAACTTTACCTCAGGATGAGAACAGAAACCATGTGACGGCAGTGGGAGGTCCCATTGGCTAAAGTGGTACCTCAGGTTAAGAACGGTTTCAGGTTAAGAACGGACCTCCGGAACAAATTAAGTTCTTAACCAGAGGTACCACTGTATTTCCCAGGGACAGTGCAAGATTTACAGAAGCCATCCCTGTTTCTGATTTGATCCTGGAATGTCCCACTTTTCCTTAGGACATCTCTATTTTCATCTGAGAAATGTTGGAGGATGTGAAGTTATTCCACCCACCAAGCCAAGGAGATAAGTAATTATACAACCTTTGGAAGACATCCAAAGGTATGCCCGTATGGGGAAGTTTCTTGATGTTTAATGTTTTATTATGTTTTTTTATATGTCGGTAGCTGCCCAGAGTGGCTGGAGCAACCCAGTCAGATGGGAGGGGTATAAATAATAAAATTAAGATGATGATGGTGATAATGATGATGAAGATTGAATATCATGTCCCTATTTTCATTGGGAAAATGGCGGAGGGTATGTGATAGCATACCCTCCAACATTCCTCAGATGAAAATGGGGACATTTCTCACTCCCCTGGCACCACAGATCTGCCAGAGCCTCTCCTCCTCCACACCTGCTCTCCAGCAGCCTCTATGAGCTGCCCAAGAGAGGAGGCACACTGGTTCCCCTATATAAATATTAAGAGCTGAGCTGCTCAGAACATTTCCTTGAATTAAATATTTCCTTGAATTAATGGTTAATACACCGGGAGCAGGATTTTGAAACATCTACAGCTGTGGTTCCCAACACACCACACAGGGGGGCAATTTGATTTTTAAGGGGGGCAATTTGAGAATAAGGTATTAACAGTTAATGGCCTTTTAGGCTTCCTTCACGTGAATAGGAGTTCACTCTTTGAATAATAAGAATTATATGTCACGGGGGGGGGTGTGTGTCAGGATTTTAGAGATCGTTAGGTGTGGCATGGCCAAAAAAAGGTTGGGAACCACTGATCTATAACAATTTAGAATTTAAATCTGCATTTTGCAAATTTTGTTAACCCAAGTGAAAACCACTATTTTTTCACAATACCCTTGAGTAGAAATAACTCATAATCTTCCCATTGTTTAATTGCTGAGCGTTGAAAACTGGATTTTGGACTCCAAATAAAATTAAACATTGTGCCCCACTAATGATTTTCAATATTCATTCACTTTTCAATGATTTCCCAAAATGTTTCCAGCCAGCCTGGTTAAATACCATATGTGGCAAACGTCTTAGATTAAAAAATATATATATCATTATGATTCGTTTCTCATTCGTGCATAAAAATTGGTCAGATTTTCAAAAGAGAATTAGAATGTGTGCATAAGGCTTTGAATCTCTCACCTCAATTGGTT